AAAAGTGTGCAACAAGTTATGAGAAAATCTTGTGTATGTATTATTTTTAAATTCTCTCGATTGAAAAAAATAATAGGTGACGTTATTTAAAGATATAATTTTGAAGAATAGAGTTAATTGAGAATGATTCTACTTCTTAGATAACGTGATTATAAGAGGGGGTCCAATCTCCTAATCAGCAATCACATAGTCTAGTACGTGTCGGTAATTGACTGCGGGCAGTATTACACTAACCAAATATTTCAGCTAACAACAAACCACGATTATATAATCTCATCGGAATGTTTGCGAATTTGTGAGGTTTAGAAATTTGTCAAATTTGTCAAATAACGTTAACTACTCATTAGTACAGGAAATCACAAAGCTTCTTACAATTAGGCAAATTCAAAGAAGTTGCGTTCACAACGGCGGTAAAGAGATCTTTTTGTTTTCTGTCTGCTCGAGCAACGACGATTAGCTTTCCTAGAATATATCAAATAAAGTAAAAATCACATACAAGTTCAGAAAATATTGCATCAATTTTGCTGCAATAATGTCTGAAAGGGAGTGGCATTTCCATTCGTTTCCAGCACACATCGCTTTGTGGTGTATTTCCTTCACAGCCTTCTAGTCTGTGGTCCCCAGCCCAAAGCCCGTCTAGTGGTAGTCAAGAGGGCACAGGATGTGGAAACAGAAGCAACATTGTGATTCCTCCACTACTCCATTTTAAAAAGCATTGAGCATGTTTTGTACTATCAACTAAAATGTACAAAAGAGTACGCGAGATAGCTGTATACCACATGCCGTCGTAATCTTTCAGAAACCTTAAATTTATAGGAAAAAGGAAGTGATCCATTTTGCGACAAAATGTTTAATTAATACATCATTAACAATTTAAGTTAATACACTATTATGTCTAAGTTAATACACAATTAATACATTTTCATTAAAATGGCAAAACAGGTTAATGTCAACGTGTTTCTGTAGACGAAAAAAAGTTTTCTGAGCATCATCAATTTGGAAAACAGTTTTTTCAACCACTTTTAATTTAAAATAAGGTATAATGAGTTAGTTCAATAAAATCTATATTTGGAGGCGATTAATTACTACGTTTTCCCCTTCAAATTGGTAATAATATGGACAAATTTGATATGAATTGCTTTATTATTTCATGTTTCCGTGTGCGTCTACTGCTAAGGTCATTATTCCCATAAGTATAGTGCATGATTTTCCACAGAGGATGTTGGTGTTCTCCTCCCGCTGGATGGTGAGAACTGGCACCGACATACACGTCGGCTAGTAAGTTTTCCCAACCAGGTACCTCCCACCAGCGGGGCATCGCGCCAGCGGAGTCACTGCTCCCGACTGGTCTTCCGATGTGTGTGATAGTGTAGTGCAATTAGAATTCTCCCCAAACAGTGGTTAAACTCGATAGAGCTGCCTAGATAGAGTCGAAAATCCTGCCACCGTCAGGACTCCAACTCTAGGACCTCCGCGTCAGAGGCACTGAAGTGACATCGGTAGATGATGTGATCCACATAAGTCGATAAGAAATTATATTAAAATCGTTTGTTCAATAAATGTGTGAGTATTTTTATGATGGGTTGATAAGTATGATTAAAAGCCTATATTGTTGTCGCAGACAACAATTCATGAGTTTAAAAAAAACCGTTGCCCAACTATATCATATCTGATATTTTAATAATTTAAAATTCTCATTAAACCTGAAGTTTTAGTACTTTTTACCTTCTCGTATACGTACGTACACTATGTGATCAAAAGTATCCGAACACGTCCAAAATAGTGTTAGGTTGTGGTCGTGGTTTTTATGGAGGGGGATTGCTCCTCTTGTTGTTTTGTGTGGCACTATCACAACACAGGTCTACGTTGATGTTTTAAACACCTTCTTGCTTCCCACTGTTGAAAAGTATTTCGGGGATGGCGATCTTCGGGGATGCATCTTTCGAAAGCACCTGTTCATACTGCACGGCCTGTGGCGGGGTGGTTACACGACAATAACATCCTTGCAATGGACTAGCATGCACAGAGTCCTGACTTGAATCCTGTAGAACACCTTTGGGATGTTTTGGAACGCCGATTTCGTGCAAGCCTCACCGACCTTCATCGATACCTCTCCTCAGTGCAGCTCTCCGTGAAGAACGGGGTGCCATTCCCCAATAAACCTTCCAGCACCTGATTGAAAGTATGCCTGTGAGAGTGGAAGCTGCCATCAAGGCTAAGGGTGGGCCAACATCCAATTGAATTCCAGCATTACCCATGGAGGGCGCCACGTGCTGGGAAGTCATTTTCATCCACGTGTCCGGATACTTTTGATCACATAGTGTATTAACGGAGTAACATTCGTAGTATAGATAAAGTTATGTAATGCTGCGTCAAAAAACTCCTTTTTTTATTTTACATAAGTTATGACTGTTTATAGGCGATTATCGTTATACCTTCCCCAAATTCTGATTATTACGTAATCAATGTTTTAACCATCATAAATGTTTATTAGAATTACACTTACTGGAGTTTGAATATAATTTTAAATGTTTCCTAACTCAATGTGTAAATTAAATATTTGCAGCGAAAATATTTTTGGCCGACTGTTTGAAGAATGACAGTATCAATAAAATTGACTAATGGTTTTCAATATAGTGTCATCATTTTTAGGCAACGCTGTGCGAGAATATTGCGACACAAATTCACACTTCTCTAAACGGTACGACTGCTTCTCGTGAATCAGTTGTTCGTATAATTTTCAATTGTCTATATTCTCTTTGAAAAACTCTTGTAGATGGATTGTTTGGAAACTTCCCCCAAACTTCGTTAAAAATGTTTTGATACAGTTGTTTGGAATCAAAAATTCCATTGTAAGGCAAGCTTTAGCAACACAAAGGACTGGAGATCATAAGTTGTAACAACGATCGCATCCAATATTCCACTTCAATTTTTTTCTAATGGATGGCGCTTAAACACAGTTGCAAGGCTTTAACGTCTCGTAATGAAGCCGAATGTACTCGCATTTTGAGATAGACGTCACATATAAAAGAAACTAGACAGCGTTCTTACAGGTAACTCATAAGATGGATGGGTATTATAGTCTGATTGCTTATAGTATGTCCCGCCTTTTCCTCTGAACGAAGTTGGCATTAAAACCTCTCAATCGCAGTCAAATTTTGTTTCCTAAACAGCAATGAGTATATCTCGTCGCTCGTCGCAGACATCACTAATTCTACATTAACGTGATCAACCATTAAGAATGTTTTTTTCTTCTAATGGCAGCTTATAATATTCTCTAGGTAAATACCAATATTTTATGGTTCGAACAAACTAAAGATTTGTATGTTTTTATGATTAATCGTTTTAAGTTTTTAGTGCAGAAGGAAGAAATAAGGTTATTTCGATGAATTAGTTTTAAACATTTGCGAAGACAATTTTTTCTCTTGTCATTTCTGAAGGAACGCTGGATTACATTTCCAGTAGGACAGCCGTGTCGTTTTATCAGCTGAATATTCTGTGATTTATTTCTACCCTTCATGCACATAAAGATATATCACGGCTGTCCTTTGCAATTAATTTTATTTTCCCTCTATCATTTCAAAGTCACTTTATACATTTTATCTCCCTGATTTTTGTTCACTTACTTCACCACTTATGACATACAATCTAAGTTCTATTCATTAAAGATACCATTTTTATTTATTTTCTCACCAAAAGTATTTTTGTTATGCGAATAAAACAATCTTCATCTTCAGAACGAGATATGACACACTCTTAAGATATGTAAATAATGTCAATTATCAATATACTTTGTCAGATATAAATAAATTGTCTGGAGAGATTCCTACGTAGCCCACGAAACTAACGTTAGTAAAGTAGGAGAAGGTAGTTAGAAAGTAGTAGGTTAAGTAGTCTAACTAGAGTTAAGACGGAACGTAAGGGTAGTTCCTATCCCGCAGCGATACGCGAACTCCGCAATCCAAATATTTTGCAAACCTGTTTTCAAACTAGCGCGATATTCAGTATTTTCTGAATTTATTTTGCAAATGCAAACCAATATGAATTTCCTAACCACAATGACGTATCTAGGGTACGGCACATGGGAGGTACGCAACTGGCAAGAGGTGACATTCAAAACTGCATATTTGTGAAAAAAGTTAAATTACATGATTTTCCATTGGGGAAATAAATTCAGTTTATTAAATTCTACTGACCTGCAGCAGCAAAAATTCTGATGTACACAAATACAAAAAATGGTTTACCAGAAAGTAGCACGCACACTGCACTACGGTTCTTTAGATACATTGCTGTTCCATAACGCAACGTGTGAATAGCAAATATTTAAAGGTGGGGGTTGAAGACTTGCTATCGCATGATGACAGCTCCATCGTAAGCAGCGAGTCACTCAGGATGAGAATTCAGTCGGTACGGGTAGTATGGAGGGCGTGGAGTAACATTGGCATTTTACCTTAACATCGAAAATGTTTCATTGTTTTTGTATTTTTACCGAGTTTATGGGTATATAACTAAACAAAAGGCACTTCTCGCGTGGTCGGCAGCGACATACTGTTTTTTCAATTCTTGTGCGCCACGGAAATTAGTAACATAAATAGAAAAAAAAATAATGAAATATTTATACCTCTAGGTAGTTGTTTTTGTGGATTCCATACAGCAGAAAACTGATGATGATGGCTAAGCCATCAAAAGCTGTTATTGTAATAAATAATATTGTTTGCAATGACGACTCATATAATTATTTAATTGTAAATGGCAACGAAAACTCACCACAATACCAATAGAAAAAAAAACATTTGTAATGAATCAAATTCAGAGAATTTACTCTTGATACACCGGGCAAAAAATATATTTTGAAGAAGCATTTAAAAAATTGTAATTAATTTTTAAAAAGTTTTGCTATTTTAGTACCTAGCGACGCAAATTAAGGCCAGAATAAAAGAAATCGGCGGCTGAAAGTCATGTTTGAGGTCTCTCCGCTATTCGCCCGTATTCGTTCACACGTACCCCCTTGCCTGTCGCCCTCTTCTTCTTTGCGCACGCCAGCAGCACCAGATGCCATAAGGGTAATAATAATAATAATAATAA